AGACATAAATGACAAAAACAAGGCTCCTTCTGGGAAAAGCTCCTCCAGAAGCCCTGTACCCCGTGGCCACAGATTGTGGTTCCAGCACTCACCACCTTCACCAGCTGAGACATGGACACTTCAAACTGGATGACGACTGGGTCAGACACATTGGCCACAGGCCGGATGATCTCGTTGTAATCTTCAAAGAGGCGCTCAAACAGGCGATGCTCGGCCTCTGAGCTACTGGCCACTAAGGGAAACAGCCCTGTCAGTCCCTGGGGAAATTACTACTTATCTCTCCCACGAGGGACATCACCCACTGATAACCTCTGGGGTACTCTATGAACCCCAGACTTCCATTGCTTCCTCCAATGACAGACTGGGAAACTGAAGCCCAAGAGAGACAGGGATTCCACCATGTCACACAATTTAGTGGTAATAAGCCTGGGCTCTGACGTTGGACAAAACTGGTGCAAATCTTAACAAACCACTGTGAGCTGTGTGAGCTTAGCCTAGTAGCTTAACCTCTGTGAGCCTCTGTTTCTTTATGTGTCAAAATAAAGATTATAAATGTATTCACATCAAAGGATTGTGAGGAGTGACGTTCTTAGTGGCATGTGGTAAAAGCTCAAGAGCTATAAGTTATCCTTACTTTTATTGTTACTACAGGGCAGGCATGTGGTGCAAATGCTCCTGGAAAGATTCCCTGTCCAACCCCAGGGGCAGGGAGGCTGGGGGTCACCCAGGCTCAGGTGTCCTGCTTCTAAGCCTAGGAGACTGCATCCCAGATCTGGGAGTCCCCCTTGTCCCACTCAGGATCGTGTAGAGATTTGGCCACAGCCTTCTTGGAAGGCATCCACCTGTCTCTCATGATCTCAGAGTGGGACCCCCGGTTCCTGCCCATGCTGTCTTCATATCCTGCTAGAAGTCCCTTATTTCTCCGAAGCCCTGAGCAATCCCTTTTGTTCATAAGCCACACCCCAGCATAGTTGAGGCATCTTGGGTCAGCTGCAGCCCACTTACAGATCTGGGGGCAAACTGGGGAGGAGGGAAGGGAATCTGACCCAAATTTTTCAGTCCCTGAAATGGGATTTTGCCTGATTCGCTGGACACCCCAACAAAGGAGGTGCCCCAGGCAGGAGCTCCGTTGAGCGCGTAAGGCGCTCTGAGTAGTGGAGACTTCCGCAACGAGGGTCAGAAACAGCCCTATGCAGCACAGCCACAATGCCCCAAGAACCTACGAGCTGGACCCCAAGGGACGTCTTGCAGCCTTGCAGAGTCCCAGCCAACCCAGGCCTCTCGAAGAGCGGAGAGTCAGGGTCGGCTTCGTCCCAACAGGCTCCTCTAGAGCCTCGGCAGCCGGCGGGGAGGCGCGCTCCCCGGTTGAGGGTCAAGGTGACGCGACCAGGACCACGGACTAGAGTCTGGCGTGCCAGATCCGGCCCCGGTCCCGAAACGACTCTCGCCTCCCCGAGGTGGCCTTGGAGAAGTCCGTATTCCTCTCTGGCCACCGTTTCCCAACTAGTGGTAAAAAGAGGCAATGGACGGGATCAGATGCTGGAACCGGAGCCGAAAACGAAGAAGGCATCCCGCGTCCCTGAGTGGCCTGCGGGTCCCCGGCTAGGGCGTCCCCACCCTGGGTACCGGACCCTCCAGCGAAGCGCTCCTAGGGCCGCCTTCCCTCGGGACCCCGCACGCTGCGCCCGTACCTGGCAGCAGCAGTAGCAGCAGCAGCAGCTGCGGTGGCGGCGAGAGCCGGCGGGTGCCCATGGCGCGTCGGCTCGGCCCCGCTCTCCGGGACCGCGCGGACGGGGCGGGCGGACGTGAATGGTCAGGAGCAGGTGCGGCCGACGTGGATGCTGAGGTCTTTCCGCACAGCTCCGAGTGCAGACGGCGGACTCAGAGCCGTGCGGGCGCGGGGATGCGCGAGGCTCTTCCCTCTGGGCGGCCTTGGGGCTCCGGAGTGAGCGAATCACCCGGAGAGAAGCGTCGCGAGCCCCACGCGGGGCGGGGCGAATGCCGGAGGTGGGCTCGCGCGGGTGGGGAGAGGGCTCCGGGTCCCCAGTCCCTGAGCCCTGCGGCCTCCTCCCGGGCCCTGGGCAACCCTACGGACCGCTCGACGCCCTACCAGATAGAAGCGGGCTCTGTCAGCCTCCAGGGAGAAGGGGCCAATCCCTGTCCCTGTCCCTGGCTTCCGGGGCGTGTGCAGCTACCGCAGGGGACTGGGGACCGCTAGGCTAGAAGGTCGTCTCTATAAAGAACGTCCAGCTCACCCTCAAAACGAGCCTCCCGTATTTGATGTTCTTAAGTAATTGTTAAATATTTTATGCGTGATACGTGTGTGTGTGTGTGTGTGTGTGTGTGTGTGTGTGTAGTTTAGGAGGGGGATGGGTAGGTTGGAGTCAGTTAAAACAATATTGGCGATGAGTTGTGGATGATGGAATCTGGAATCTGGTTATACTGTTCTCTCTACTTTAGAACATGTTTGAAATGTTCCTTAATTTAAAAAAAAAGTATAACAAAAAGAAAAGAAATAAAAAATGAGGTTTGGAGCCATCCACGAGGGCACCTGGCTTCCCACTCTTCCCAATCTGTAGATTTCCCTCTTCTCTTACTACCATTTGCAGTCCTGGGTGTCCCATGGATGCACAGTGACCAGGCAGATGCCCTGGGGTCCCTTGTCTCTCTGGCCACCCACCAGGCATGATAGGGCACCTGAAGTCTTTCCTGATGTAAACAGAGGAGGAAGGTTAACCTTCCTTGCCGGTTCTCTTTTCCTGCTTCAGCAAATGGTGAGTCACCTTCATTTCTTCTGGAAGGGGCTACTATCCACATTTAAAGCAAACAAAAGGAGACAATTTGTGGGATCCAGAAAATGTTTGGAAGACTTGAGGTCCACCTCTAAGGCCCCATTCTCATTCTGCTAGCAAAAGGATCTTCATTTGGAAAATATGGCAAAATCGAATATTCAACATTAAACAGTAATAGGTGGGTATGAGGGATCTTCTTGGGAATAACAGAGATGTTCTAAAACTGGATTATGGTGATAAATGTAATAAAATTCATTAAATTGTACACTATAAAAATGGGTGAATTTATGGTATGTTAAATTATGCCTCAATAAAGTTATTTTTAAATTCAGCAGTAAGAACACTACAACCCAATTTTAAAAATGAGCAAAGGCAGTAAACATTCACCAAAGAGGATATACAGAAGGCAAAAAAGCACATAAAATGATGTTCAACACCACTCGCCATTAGAGAAATAGATTAAAACCAGGATGATATATCTGCTAGGATGGCTAAAAGAAAAACAAATGCTGTCAATACCAAGTCAGAAAAGGATACAGAACAACTGCCTTGCTCACACTTTGCTGGTGAGATTGTGAAATAGTACAGCTACTCCAGAGAACCACTTGACAGTTTCTTTTAATGTTGAAACACATAATCCAGCAATCACACTGCTGAGTTTTTATCTGGAGAAATGAAAACTTTTGCTCACACCCATCCTACATGTGATGTATGTGACAGCTCTATTCATAATTGCCCCAAATTGGAAACAGCTTCAATGTGCTTCAACATCCATAGGATAAAGTACTGCTTGGCATATACACTCAGCAACCTGAATGAATCTCAAAGGTATTATGCTAACCAAAGAAAACAATCTCCAGAGGCTACATACTGTATGATTCCAGTTAAATAGCATTCTCAAAGACACTGAACAATAGTTGTAGAAAGAAGGTAGGTGGTTCCCTGGGGTTGGAAGTGAGGTTTGGAGCCATCCACGAGGCTATAAGGAAATGGTAGGGGAAGTTCTTTTGGGTGACAGATCTTTCCTGTGTCCTGATAGTAGTGGTGGTTACACAGATTTATACCTGTTATAATTTGTAGAATTTTTAAAAAAATACTTATTTTTTAGTTGTAGGTGGACACTATATCTTTATTTCATTTTTATGCAGTGCTGAGGATCAAACCCAGTGCCTCATGCATGCTAGCAAGCACTCTACCACTGAGCCACAACTCCAGCCCATAATTCATAGATTATATATTTAAAATGTCATTTTATTGTATAGTAATTTAAAAAATGGAATTTTAAGTGTTCTCCATTGCACAAATATTCTGAGTGTCTACAACTTGCCAGGCACTGTGGGAAAGACAGTATGCCGGGCGGTGGGAGGGGGATCCATCAGCATGTGAGGGATACAGACCCAAACCAGCCATGATATGAAAGTGGAAAGTGGCCAGAGAGCCATGAACAAGAGGGCCATTCCTTTCAGGGATGGGGACCAAGGACAGCTGCTTGAAGGAGGAGCAGGAGCCATTCATTCATTCAACAAACATTTATTTCACACCTGCTGTGTGCCAAGCTCAGTCTCAGACCTGGAGCAAACCTGAAGGAGCAAACCCTGCTCTCATGGAGCCCACACTGGTGGTGAGATGTGGACCATAAACATGCTGCCAAATAACTGCACGTACTGAGGGGGGCTCAAGGATGGTGATAGGGTAATGTGGTCACTGGGGAGGCTACTTTGAAATGGGAACAGTCTTTAGATGATATTGGAGCAGAGGACCATGGTAGCAGAGCCCTGATTGATGACACCATGGGAAGAGCTTGGGAAGCACAGGGGTGGGGAAGAAGGTTCAATAGATGCAAAGGCTCTGAGGTGGGAAGGATCTAGAAGCATGTGGAAGACTGAAAGAAGGCTAGTGAGCCTGGAGGACAAGAGAGGATGGAGACAGCTGGGGGTGGAGAGATAGGCTGGGATGTGGGCAAGATGCCTGGCACATAGTAGGTGCTGTTAGTATGCCTGGTGCATGGAAGGAAGATAGGCTGGAATTAAACTGTCTGAAGCCCCCTCCTGTTGGGCTTCCTCGGAGGCATTCAGAATGGACAGCGCAGGACCCCATCCTTGCCCTCTGGCAGCTGTGGCTGCTTTGATGGATTGTTAGCTGATGGTCAGATGTTTATTTAGGGCCTCAACAGCTGTGACCCAGAAGGAAGCAGTGAACTGTCCACCTGGCTGCTCACATCATCTCACCCCACAGCCCAGGGTGCTCTTGGACATGATGGGCAGTCTAGGGCACCTCAGAAGGTGGGTGGGTCAGGAAGAGGGGAGGGAGGAAGAGCCCCACAGTGCCCAGGATGCATACAAACACGAATACCCACAGGAATAGCCGGTCGACCACCATGGCCACATATTTCCAGTCCTCAATGACCTGCAGATAGATAGAAGGGTTGGTTACAGGTGCAGAAAAACTGAGGTCCCTCCTTCCTCTAAGTCAGGTCCTCACCATCTGGTCAGAGACCCCAATGGTCACAATGTGGGCTTGGAACCACATAATGGTATGGCAAGTCCTGAGTCCCAGGCTGGCCTCAATTGAGCAACTCTGTCACTCTCGGCGTCCTCCAACCCAACCTGACCTACCCACTAAGCATTGCAGAGCCACCAGGAACTTGGACAGGACAGGAAAGTTAGGAATGTAAGGGGTCATTAATACTGTCATCCCTCAGTATCCTCAGGGGATTGGTTATAAGATCCCCCTGTGGACACCCAAATCAGAGGATGCTTGAGCCCTTTATGTGAAACAGCATAGATTTTGCACATAGCCTATACACATCCTCCCGCAGACTTGCAGACTGTCATCTCTAGATTGCTTACGGTACCTAATATACTATAAATGCTTTGCAAATAATTCTATTTTTTTAGGAAATGGTGACAAGAAAATTAAGTCCGTAAAAATACAATTTTTTTTGGAATGTTTTTGATCCATGGTTGAATCCATGGGTAGGTTTGGGGGGAAAGCTGTATCACATATTGTAATTTGAAGACCAAATCTGGTTATAAATAAAGGGGGATGAGGCCTGAGGATCATGAAACTCCTTTCTCTCATTTTCACCCCAAATAATCTGCCTGAGCCAGCTCTGCATAAAGAAGATTTGGGGCCCACCTACTTTAGTGGGGGCAGGGCAGTGGGCGCTTACAGAACACCTGGAAATCCTGCTGGTTAATTCGTTCAATTCCGTTCACAGCAGTGTCTGCTATTTCCTCTAAATAAGACTCAGCTTCCTCCTGCCTCATCATCTGGCTAGCTCTCTTGGGCTCACTCTGACTTGCTTTCTTGCTTTCCCTGTCTCTAATCATCTCAGACCCACCTATGAGGTGTGATATTGATAGAAACCTGGCTGGCCTCCAGAGGTGCCCCACAGATGTGCCTGCTTCCTTGGCACAGGGGGAGATGCCCGACATCCTGTTGTCCCTCCCCCATCCCCTGCCCTGGAAGAGCTCAGCAGAGGCTCTGGAGCTGGAAATACAGGCAGGCAGCAGCGAGCAAGCTGACGTCAGTGACCCAATTTGTTAGGGCCCCATCAATGGTGTGTGTCTACCACTAGGATAATCCTGTGCCAAAGCAGCCCCCACACCCTCAACCAAACACACTGGCACCTGTCTCTAAGACGCAACAGGCACAGCACAGCTCTCCAACGGCGTGCTTCTTGGCATTCTTGGGTTTCTTTTGGATAACCCTAATTTCAAACAGCTTTTGTGTGTGTGTGTGTGATTCCCCCCCTCTTTTTATATTTTTTGTGCTATTTATAGTGACCAGTTAATCACCAGGGAGGGAGAAAATGTTGAAGATGAGACACTCTGCCCGGGCTAACTCAGGGACGGGCATGTCCTGGAACACAGACCCTGCCCCCCTTGCACAAGAGAAAGTCAGTCAAGCAACAAGTCCACCATGTGTTCAGTGCAGGGCAAGGCACTGGGAGGGGCATGGCAGAGAGATCTGGGTATTGATCCCAGCTCTGCTCTGTGCCAGCTGTGTGACCCAGGACAAGTTAAGAATGTCCCTGAGCCTCACTAGCCCCATTGTAAACTGGGGGTTCTAGTAAAAGCCACTTTGGGGATTCTTGGGAGGGGTGGAAGTAATTTATGTCGGCTTCTGGCAAAGCTCCTGATGTATGTATGGAGCTTAATGAACACTGGTGATTGTGTCAGCAGTGGGTCCTGCCTGGCTCCTCCCTCTAGGGGCTTGAAATTAACGGGGGCTAGAAACAGCAGGAGGCCTGTGAGTGCCAATGGTGTGAGAGGCCTTTAGAAGGGAGAGTGGAGAATGGATGTCAGTTCAGCCAGCTGTGCAGGAGGCCAGGGCTCCTCAACCTCCGATGTGTACTAGAACCACCAGGGATCTGGTTAAAACTGCAGGCTCCTGGATTCTTCTCCCAGGGACCATGGCTCAGTCAGAATGAGTTGCTTCAACTCTGTGGTCTGAAAAACTGCCCAGGTGGTTCTCATTTAGCCAGCAGGGCCCCAGGCGGCAATTAAGGTTTGGGAGGCAATGCATTAGGTGATGGTGAACTCCTGAATGATTTTTTTTAAAACATATTTTTTTTTTAGTTATACATGGGCACAATATCTTTATTTTTGTTTATTTATTTTTATGTGGTGTTGAGGATGGAACCCAGGGTCTCACATGTGAGAGGTGAGTGCTCTATTGCTGAGCCACAACCCCAGCCACCCCCCCCCCCCCCCCGAATGATTTTAAATTTTTAGAAGGCAAAATCCTGTAGAGCTGTGCTTCTCAAATTGAAATATGCCTAGAAAGTTCCTGGGATCTGGAAATGCAGATTCAGGGAGGGAGGCCTGGGAGAGTCTGCATTTCTCAGCATGTTGCTGCTGCTGGTTCAAGGGCTGCACTCTGAGTAGCTGGGGTGCATAAGAATATCTCATGCCCTATATATGTTCCATTTGTTAGCAGTTCTCTTCTTTCCTTTGCACAGTGTGATTCTGGAGCTTTTCGGGGCCTGCACTTGTCAGTCTGTGCTAACTAATGGAATACCAGTGCTCTCCCTTGAGAATGCAGCTACTGAAAAGGGATTGCAGAAAGACAAGTACAAGGAGATGCCCTCTTTTACCAGCGCAGCTGCAAAGAGGGAGACATCACATAAAAACCCGCACAAAGAATCTCATCTGTGTTGAAATGAGAACATTCACACAAGTACGGAACTTGTTCTGCCTGGTGCATGTGAACATTTCTAACCATTACTGTCTCCTCCTGTATTCAGTTATTATCAAATCCCCCTTAGATGTGTTACTTGTTCAAAGGAGTCACTGGAGACACCCAAGCTCTGTGTTCTGTGAAAGTGAACTCACCCTCATTTCAGAAAGTCTATAATTCTAGCCACCCTACTTCATCATTTATTAGGCTGGTAGCAGCTTTTAATTGATGTTTCCATACTCCTGGAAGATACAGTGCTAGTATGGAATCTTCACAAGTCTGCAGACAAGAACAGATGCCCCTGGTACCCCAGCCCACTTGTGCTCCCTAATGGCTGCAGAGTCATTCCCAGCTCACTTCAGGTGCCTGCATCTCCTCCTTTCTCTGTCTAGGGCCTTCTCCTGCACCAGAGGTGCTTGCTCTAGCAAGCTGATGTAACTGGGAAGAGCAGGGAAGCTATTGTCCTGGAGTCACTGACAACCCACAGGAGATGGGAGCCTCCCTCTAGGGCATCATTCTGAGGCTAGTTCCTGAGAGGGTCTCAGTCAGGACTGTGGGCACCCACAGCAGGATGCTGCTCATTAGTATCCTACAGTGGTTTCCTCCTTCTCCTGCTTCCTCACTGTGCTCTCTGGGGTCACCTGTCAAATAAACTACCTGCGCTCAAACCCATCTCAGGATCTGCTTTTGAGGAACCCAAAAACAAACACAGAAAGATCATTGCTCCTTCTGTCTTCTTCCCTGTGCACGCAGCTATAATAAAACCCATTTCAGATGTGGATTCCGAGGAATTTGAGAGTCCTTATCTCATACGAATTAACTGCAAAAAAATGGCAGGGAACAGACATTGTTATCTGAGCCCCTTCTACTGGACATGTGGGCAGGGTTAGGGACTTACACTCTGGTCTTCATCGTCACTCTTCATGTGCTGGGCAATGAAGCTGACACCCTCCAAAGCCTCCTGCACATCCTGCCGGAACCTCCCAGAGGACCTCTGCCTGAAATCTCTGGGGATGCCTGCTGAGTGGGAGCCAGCTGGAGACTTGGGCGCCGCAGGGGCAGGGTTCATAAAGTACATGGAGTTCCCGTAGAGGTTAGAGGGACTGGCAGGGCCCACAGCAGAGGTGGCAGTGGCCTCAGTCTTAGTCAGGTACAACTGGGTGGGCAGGGGGGCCTTGGCCGGGCTGCTGTCAAGGCCAAGTCTCTTCATGAAGAGGAAGGTAGGCAGCTTGTGCAGGAAACAGCGCTTAACCCAGGGCGCCATGGTGTGGGTGCTGGGTGAGCGGTGGTGCACATTGAGCACACACACGGTAGTGACAATGGAGAAGGTGACCAGCACCATGGTGAACATGAGGTACTTGCCGATGAGTGGCACATCAAGGGAGGTGGGAGGCACAATCTTGGAGATGAGCAGCAGGAAGAAGGTGAGCGCCAGGAGTACAGAGATGCACAGCGTCATCTTCTCCCCACAGTCAGACGGCAGGTAGAAGACCAGGATGGCCAGTGACGTGATAAGCACGCAGGGGATGATGAGGTTGATGGTGTAGAAAAGCGGCTTTCGCTTGATGATGAAGTCATAGCTCACGTCCACATAGCTGGGGTCCTGTGGGTTCACTGTCCTTCGCCCTGGGAGGGCTACTATGTCCCACTCACCACTGGGAGTAAAGTCATCTAAACTGGCTGTGGGTGACTTAAGGACCATGTCGATTTCCGTGTGGTCGTAGGTCCACGAGCGAAACTTGAGGGTGCAGTTCTGCTGGTCGAAGGGAAAATGCTTCACCTCGATTTTGCAGGCACTCTTGTAGATGGCAGGGGGCAGCCACAGAATGCTGCCATTGGAGCGGACCACCACGTTGGTGTAGACAGACACCTCATAGGTCCCATCAGCACTGGGGCGAGGATAGGGTGTGGAGGAGAACATCATGAAACCCGCAGAAAAGGCCAGCCTGTTCTCTGGGCTCCTGGAGGAGCTCTTGGGGATTATTCCCACTAATCACCCTGTCTCAGTAAATGGGGCCTGCTTTTCTTGACATCTGGGGCACCAAGAGAGCCCCACCACGATAGAGTCTGAAAGCTTCACTCGGAACAGCTCATTTAAGCCTCTCAATAGTCCATTGAGGTGGGCTTTTTTGTTACCCCACTTTATACATGGGAAAACCAAGTCTCAGAGAAGTGACTTCTTTAAGGTCAGAAAGCTAGTAAACAATATAGCTGAGATTTGAACTCAGGTTTGTCTGTCCCTTGATAGAGTCTCCGGCCTTAAACTCCTGGGCTCAAGTGATTCTCTTGCCTCAGCCTCATGAGAAACTGGGACTACTGGTGCATGCCACTGTACCTGGCCAACCTAAGATATTTACACACTAATTTGGTGCCACCAAAACTCAATGCTGATAAAGCAACTGAGGCTCAAAAAGTCAGAATAGAGACAAGTAGAGTATGGGACTAGGGGTCAGGATGCTGTCCTGGTCCCAGCTGTGCAGAGTGACTCAGACAAGGCCCTTGCCTTGTCTGGATCTTGCCCTCTCTGGGTCTCCAACTTCCTTCTTAGCTGAGGGCTCTGGCTCTAATCATCTCTATTTTTCTTCCAGTCTGGTGGCCTAGAGGTATGGCTGAAGTACAGATGAAATCTAGGGTTGAACTCAGACTTGGATAACCCCTCAAGGATGGGCCTGCTGCCCTGGCCCAACCCTCACGGGATCTTAGCCCACCCTCTGTCACTCACTTGTTGTACAGCACAATGTCAGGCAACCAGACGCGCTTTGCAGGGATCCTCAGGATATTCACACCCTCGTAGCGGGAGCTGTTCCAGGCCAGGCGGTAGTCAGTCCACTCCTGAGCAGACAGGCAAGTCTCCATCACTTGTATATCCATCACCACAAAAAGGTAGCCCTAGGGGAAACACCTCCTGGGCTGGGGACCTTGCAGGGCACTTACGTGTTTCAGCCAGACGTTGGTGGTCATGATCTGTTCTCGCTCATTCTGGGGAAGGAAATGGGGCCATCAGTTGACCAGGAAGGAGGAGCCCTCACTAATGGGTCACGCTGTATTTCATAAAAGGCTCTGAGCTCCAGGCCTATGTGACCAACTGCTGTCCCAACATCTCATAAATGGCTCAGAGTTATTTCATACCCAGAACATCAGGGGTAAAGCTCATTATCTTTTCCCAAGCCTTGTTCCCTTTTGGAGTTATTAGTTTAGAGAATGGCACCTCCAGTCATTCATTCCATAAACCAGAAACTTGGAAACTGTTCTCTGACACCCTCTTCTTTGATCCATCCATAAGTCCTGTTGATTACATCTCCTACATGCATCTCAAATTTATCTGCTTCTTTCCATCTCTACTGCTACCATCATCAATCATTTGGACTAATGCAGTCACTTCCTAATAGGTCTTCTGGATCTGCTCTGGCCTGTCTTTAGTCTTTTCTCTGCAGGTTGGTCCCATTAGAATATCAACTTCTTAGACTATGTGATCTGATCAAACCCTCCTGCTTCCCCAGCTCATCTAAAATAAAAGCCAAAGGTGTGTGTGTACCAGGTCCTAATAATCTGCCTCTGACTCAGTCCCATTCATAACCTTGTATCTCAATATGGTCCCAGCTGCTCACTCCACTTCAGCTATGCTTGTCTCTTTGCTCCTGCCTTTATATACTCTGTTCCTTTTTCCTGAAAATCTATGCAGTGACTTCCTCACTTTCTTTAGATATTGGAAATGTCAAATGATCAGAGAAGTCCTCCCCAACCTTCCCACATAAAATAGCACCCATGTCCCTCTCCCCTTATCTTACCTTGTTTTTCTTCAAAGAACTTATAACCAGGGAACATTATCTTTTTGTGTATTGCCACCACCTCCCACTAGAATTCAAAAACCTTGAGGAAAGACAACAACCAGAAGAGCAACTGGTACGTGTCACCTACCTGATAAGTATTTTCTGAATGAGTATATGAATCCTACCATCATAATCCAGGCCACCCTTATTCATCTCTTACCTGGACCACTGCAAGACCCTCCTAGCTGGTCTGTGACTACTTTGTACACCATCACTGCACACACTCACTCATCTATATTTTCCTTTATAGCCAGAATGAAAATTTCCAAACTTCCTGCCATTTTCCACTCAATCACTTCTGTGGCTTCCCTTACATACAGAATAAAAATCTAATCCCTCTATAGGGTTTACAGGATTTTTTCAACTTCCCCAGCCTCATTCACCTTCCTGTGTTTCTTTAGTCTGTTCTCCAGCCCTGCTGGGCTTCCTTAGTTCTCTGAATGTGTCTTGTGCTCTCAGTTTGCACCATTTTCCTGCCTTCTCTTCATCAAGTTAACTTCCATGTCCTGATTTCAGCTTGGTGATTGTTTCTTCAAGGAACCTGCCCTAAACCCTTAACTGGGTAAGCCTATTAATATGACAAAGCTAAACTGCCAGGAACAGAGAACCAGAGAAACATAGGCTTAAATAAAGTAGAAGTTTATGTCCTTCTCATGCAACATTTTGGACATAAATGGTGGTTCTGCTCTACAAAATCCTCAGATACTCAGGTTCCTTCCACCTTTCTTTTCTATTACACCAAGAGTGTGACCCCCATCTGCATGGTTCAAGATGTTGGAATACCAAACACAACATCCACATTCTTGGTTATTAGGAGCAGGGAAAAAAGGGATGGATACATGCCCCCTGTCTCATTTTGATTAGAATATTTAGGCCATTTATATTTAATATAGTTACTGATATAGAGATGGCCCCCCAATTTTTAAAAATATTTGTCTTTTAGTTATAATTGGACACAATATCTTTCTTTCTTTCTTTCTTTATTTTTATGTGTGCTGAGGACTGAACCCAGGGCCTTGCACATGCTAGGCAAGCACTCTACCACTGAACCACAATCTGGCCCAATTTTTTTCCAGCCCAATTTAAAAAATATATTTTTAGTTGTAAATGAACACAATACCTTTATTTATTGATTGATTGATTGACTGATGTGGTACTGAGGTTTGAACCCAATGCCTCACAAATGCTAAATAAGCACTCTACCACTGAGCTACAACTCCAGCCTGGCCCCCAACTTTTGATGGTTCAACTTGTGATTTCTTTTTTTTAACTTTACAATAGTTTATCAAGGTAGTAAACACCTTTTGACTTACAATAATTGTTACTTACAGTGGGTTTATTGGTACATAACTCCATCTCAGGTTGAGGAGCATCTGTATTTGAGTTTAAACCTATCATCTATTTGTTTTGTGTTTACTCTTTCTGTTGACTTGTTTTGTAATCTTTTATTATTCCATTTCCCCCTACCTTCATGTGACCCTTTCCTTAGTAGTTACCCTAGAGATTATACTATACATATTTGATGTTATAATCTAACATAAATTAGTACTTTTACCACTTCCAGAAAAAGGCAAGGACTTTAAAACCTTTCAACTCCATCTACTCACTCCAGACTTTTGGGCTACTCTTCTCATATATTGAATTCTATGTAAATTAAAACATTGCAAGATGTTTTTATTGTATTATAGCATCAATGTCAACTTAAATTCACCCATCCAGTTACCCTTTTTGTTGTGCTTCATTCTTGCTCAATCTGGGATCATTTTCCTAGTAGCAAAAGAACAACCTTTAGCATTTCCTTTAATATTAAATCTTCTGATGTTAAATTATCTATTTTTTAATTTTTAGTCTGAAAATGTCATCATTTCACCTTAATTTTTGAAAGAGTCCTTCAAAATCCTTATCTAATTCTAGGGTTTGCAGGTTTTTCCCTGGCTGTAACGCTTTCAAAATGCCATCCAATGTTCTGACTTCCATATTCAGCAGTTAATTTTATTGTTATTCTTATCTTTTTGCTTTGTTTTCTTCTTTCTTTTCCTGGATGCTCTTAAGATTTTCTGTCTTTGGTTGTCAGGAATTTGAATATGATGTATTTGGGTATGGGTTTCGTTTTGTTTTGTTGTCTCTCATGGGGTCTCATAGAGCCTCTTGAATCTGTAACTTCATATCCTTGTTCAGTTTTGGAAAATTCTCAGCCAATATCACTTCAATTATTGCTTCTGTCTTATTATTTATCTCCATTTCTTCTGGGACTCCAAATATACATTAGCCTTGTTTAAATAGTATAACTATCTATCTCCTACTTTGTATTTTCATTCATTCTTCTCCTTGGTTTGTATTGATGCTTTCTATTGAGCTGTCTTCCAGTTCACTAATTTTCTCTTCTGCTATGACCAATCTGCTATGAAACCCACCCAATGATTTTTTTCCAATGAGTTTTAAATTATAGTCTTTGTATGTTTTTGGCTTTAGAATTTACCTTTTCCCCCCTTTTTATAATAACCAGTTCCCTGGAGAAATTCTCCATCTTCATAATTTTCTTTGAGCATATCTACCACTGAGCTATACCTTGGGCTCATTTTCTTAGCCTCTTAGCCTTACACTGCTTACCAACCATCAAAGGTAAGGTAAAGCATCACAGACTGTCAGGTTCACCTCCTGGAACCTGGACACTCAAACACATGTATATTTCTTCCTTTGGCATTTATTTTTCTCCGTCTTTTCTAATTGTTCTTCTAGAAAGGCTAATCTGCAACAAGCAATTCTACCATCACTGAAAGTCAAAAACCTTCATCTGTCTTAAAAACCACTTTTTTGAGTTGAGATATAATTCACACACAGTGAAATATGCTGATCTTAAATGCACTGTTTGATCAGTTTTAACAAATGCATTACCCATGTAATCCACCTCATTTCTATCATCAAGAAAGTTTTCTTGTGCTTTAGTCCTGCCTCTCACTCCCCTTCACTTCCCCTGAATGTGCCCGAGAACATTGGTTCAGGACCCTAGTCTACCCTGCAAAGAGCTACTTGGACCTGTCTTACTTAGCACAAACTCCTCACCTTTCCCCAAAACTTTTTTTTTTTAAAAAATTTGTTCTGCCCCCCTCCGAAAAAAAAAAAAAAAAAAGAAAAGAAAAAATAATAAATCCTGGAAAAAGAAAGACCCCCCCCCAAAGAAACCCCATAAATATTTCCTTTATGTACAAGCCTTTGGGAATACAACAGCTCACAGTGGTACCTGGAGGGGCAGGAGCTGGAGGCTGTGTCCCCTCCCCTTACTGGTAGCCTCTATCACTCTACAGGGCCTGCAGAGCAGATCTGGCAGGGGCAGCATGAGCCTGGAAGCTTGATCAGGGTGGCCTGCCTGCTTGCCCTCACCAGAGCAGCAGCTGCACAGCAGCGCCTGGGGCTCACCCTATTAAGCAAAAAGGAGTTGGCTGGACAATAACACTCAGACCTGGCTGTGGGACACGGAGAGGAACAGGGAGTCAAGAGTTCCATCCTGCCCAGTCCTCCCCATCTCCTGACTGTGCTACCTCCTAGGGGATGGGGCCAGATGTTCATTTGGCCCAAGCCTTTTCGGGCCCTATAGTTTTGAGAGGCTAGGTTTGTGGTGGCCAATGGTGTTGGAGAGAGGTGGTAAGAAGGAGAAGGAATGGATACTGTTGGATAGGCAGAATAACTTCTTACATTCTGTAGCACAGCAGGACAAATATGGTTGACAACAATTAATTGAATATTTGTTTGTTCTTTTCCTTATTCTGTCTGTCTGTCTCTCTCTTTCTCTCCCCACCCCCTCTCTTTGGAATCTGAGCATTGAACCAGGGTCTTGTGTGTACTAGGCAAGTGCTATACCACTGAGCTACATCCCCAGCCCTGAATATTTCAAAATAATTAATAAAGAAGAATTTGAGTGTTCCCAACACAAAGGAATGATATATGTCTGAGATGATAAGTCCATTACCTTGATCTGATCATTACACATTGTACACATGTATTAAAATGTTACACTGTACTCCATAAATTTGTACAATCACTGAGTCAAATATATATTAGTTACACTTTTGAAAAAACAGAAAGAAAAATGATGAAAATCTGGAACCTTGCCCAGAAATCTGAGCAATGCCAGAAACCAAACTCTAGTCCCTTGACTCCCAGCTCTGTGCACTGAATGGCCACTCCTTTCCCTGAGACCTGGCAGGGGCCTCTGAAAACCCACCCTGCGCTTTCTCCTGAGACTTGAGCCCCAGCTGCCTCTGCACCTACCACGCTGATGAGCTGGGCCAGGGAGAGCTGCAGCTGGATGGAGATGAGCTGCGAGGAACTGGTGGCTGGCCGGATCAGGTTGTTGTAGCGGGTTTTGTTCAGAAGGTCATCCATCAGCTTCTCCTCAGCATTGGCCATACGACAGTCCCCTGGGAAATGGCAGAGTCAGACCCACCGAGCCCCCGTCCAGTCAACCCCCACTTCAGTTAGGGCAGTGAAGGGTAGAGCTGTGAGCCTGGAGAGTAGGGTGCCCTTGGTGCCCACTGATGGCAATAAGAGCACGGCAGGCCTGCCTCTTCTTGGGGACATCAAACTAAACAGTCAAGCCAGAGCTCACCTCTCTCCTCCCATGCCATACCACTTTGTCCTTCTGTTTCCTCTAGCAATGAATGGCATCCCATGCACCATACATCCAGTCCCAAACCTGGACATCCTCTCCTCCCTTGGTTTATTCAAGTGGCCATCTAGGCCAGTCTAGTCTACTTTCCAAGACCCCCAGTCTGTCCTTCCATCTCCCACACACTCCAACAGCCAAGGCCCTAGCTTACCTCCCCTGCTCTGAACTCTTCCAGTAGCCTCCTTGCTGGTCCCACCTGCCTCTGCCATCCATGTGTCCTGTAGTGCCAGGGTGATCTTCAGATTGCACACTGGCTCAGGGTTCTTCCTTACCCACAACCTCTCATAATTGAAGGCAGAGTTAAGACCCAAATATTTCAACTTGGCATTCAAGGCCTTTTGCTCCTAGCACTGACTTATCTTTCTCAACCTCATATCCTCTTGCCTGTTCACCTTGATGCTAGACACTCTATACTCTGGCCATACCTACAGCTTGCTTCCCACCTTGTGGTCTTCACTGACTCTCTCCTTGTTTTTTGAGCATAATTATTTCTTCTGACAGGATTGCCTCAAGCCCACCAGCTATCTAGGTGTCTAGCCTGTGCCAGGTCCTGTGCTACTGTGCTATGTGCTGGGGATAATGGCAAACAAAACCTATAAACAGACTTGGGAGGCTAAGGCAGGAGAATTGCAAGTTTGAGGCCACCCTTGGTGACTTAGTTAGACCCTGTCTCAAAATAAAATAAAAAGGACTAGGGATGTAGTTCAGTCATAGAGTGCTCACCTAGAATGTGTAAAGCCCTGGGTTTCACACCTTACCACAAACTCAAAGCAAAAATACCCCAAACAGATATGGTTCCTGCTCTCAGCATACAGTACAAGGGAGGAGCATTATGACTCAAATATGGGTTTGCACACAGAACTGGGTGCACAGCAGTGTTTCCCCTAAGAAGAAAAGGAGAGGGATAGCCTGGATTCAGACTTAGATCTACAGAGCACTAAGTCCCTTTGAGACACCAAATGAAGTGTTCCAGTTGGCAGGTGGCTCCTGGCATCAAGCTGAAAGGAGAGGCCTCGGCTCAGAGCCACATCCAGCTCTCAATGTTAGTGTAGCCTCTTGCAGGGAGTCAGAGCTAGCCATTACCCTGCTCCCCAGCAAGTCCCCAGGTCTACCCCCAGATCACACCTCAGATCTCTTGCCAAGTGGTATTTCAATCTTTGTTTCATCTCCCTCACGCATCTGGGAATGAATGTGAGTTCAAGGACTTGAGCTTGTACTAGCTGTCTTCAGGGAGGATGTGTCAGGTATGGTGGAGGGGGCAGTTGGAAAGAGGCAGACTCAGAAGAAGGTCAAGGACATGTGAACAGGATTACCCAGGAGCAGGAAAAGAGATGAGAGTGGCCAGAGGAAACAGTGTTGTGGCAGGAGAGCAGACGGAGTAGGGGGTGGGGGATAAAGGAATAGGGATGGGGGTGGCGATGCTGGCGAGGGGCCGCCTGGCTCACCAGGCCAGGGGTGTGATTTCATCCTCCCCCCCCCTACCAGCCATTCACTAAGTCTTATCAAATCCCTTCCTCTTTGGACAGGGCCAGGGGTCCCAGAGCATGGATCACCCCAGTCAAGCAGGTCTGAGGTGGGCTCCTGGGTGAGTGCTGGGCTGGACACATGGTCATGAGAAGCAGCTGCCACCCTGCCTACTCCATGCACTTTCCAATTCGCTGCCTATCTGGAGCAGATGCAATATTTAGTGCCTTGTGAAAGATGCTCCCAGCGCACCTGCTGCCTGCTGTCCCTCCCCCAGACTACCCTGGGTTCACCTGATGGGGGTCCTGTAGATGCCTGGCCTAGATTCTTAACACTGCTTCTCAAAGCTGGGATCCCCTCTCCCAGAGGCCAGCTGCTGGAATACTGGGTCAGGAAAGGCACTCTGTATCTCCAGCCTACATGTAGGTCCCTCCCAGAGTCCTTCTTTAGTACACCTATTTCAGCTGACCCCTCATTTCATAGTAAAGGGAACGACTTTCCCAGAACCATCTGGCATGTCTGAGGCAACTCTGTGGTCAGAATCCGCAGTTCCCAGGCTTCGACCTTGCAATACTATGGGAGGCTGGATTCTGCATCTCTGTAGCCCCAGGAAGCTGGTTCCCTGGGAGTCTTCAGAGTCTAGGATTGCTGCGTAGCTGTGGGGGTTCATGATTCAGCTATAAACGTGCCTGATGAGCTCAGCTTGCTCACCTGTGACCTGTCCTGCCTCCGAGGCATTCAACTAACCTGAGGGACCCTTCCCCATCTTGAGGACCAGCAATGGGCTCCATAGTTAAAAGTCCCAAGAACCTTAGACTATTTACCCAACCTTGTATTTTTCAATTGGGGAAACTGAGATCAAAGAAGGAAGGGATTTATTCAAGGACCCCCAGCAAGTCAGACCAGAGTCAGGTCTAGGAGTCTCTTTCAAACAAAGACTCTCCCCTGACCATGTGACTTTATGACTTGGCTTGTGGGGTGTTTTTTTTGTTTGTTTTTTTAACTGAGGTTTTAACTTGGGGTGCTTTACCATTAAGCTACATTTCCCAATCCTTTTTTATTTTTTATTTAGAGATAGGGTCTCACTAAGTTGTTCAGGGTCTCACTAAGTTGCTGATTCTGGCTTAGCCTCCTGAATCACTGGGATTATAGGAAGGCACAACCATGCCTGGCTTGTGCCCTTGTTAACTTCACCCCCTAAGGAAACTGCCCTGTCAGAGGCCATAATTGGTATTGTTTGATTATGGGGTGGGGGTAGTGTCCATACCTGCACCTGTGTTTGTATTTATGAGTGTGTCTGTATGCATGTATGTGCACACACCTGCACACACATGAAGGGGTAATAATGACCAGCCCTATGGGCTGGAATGCACAGTTCCTAAAAAGTAGAGGGGGGTGCACCAGAACATCACAATTAGTCTTTCCAATCTGCTGCCTAATGCTTGCAAGGCCTGCTGGGTTAAAAAGACAAGGAACAGAACTTTCACCCCACACACACCCCCAGGTGTGGGTCAGAACAGGTAAAAGCTCCTGGGCACAACTGGAGTTACTTCTCATACTGCCTGCTTGCAGAGTGAAACAGAAGCCACCACTAGGGGTCAGCCATCACCCAATGATTCTGATGAGGAGTGGTCCTCCCCAGGGGTTTGCCTCTGGAGGCTGTCTTTGAAAAAACAGCTCCCCCAAATAAAGGGCCTAACAATCTAAGAGGCAGCTGTAGCTGAAATTCTAAATTGTATGTGTGTCTAGTCTGAAAAAGCACATCTGATCTAAAAATGAGTGACATAACTATTATTTTGGAATACAACTACAGAAAGTAAGGGTAACAAAATGTTACTGGCAAGTAGGCATCTGCAAGGCAGGAATTATCAGTTGGAGTGTGTGTCCCTAACTGAGGAAGGGCACACAAGAGTTTGTCAAAAGGCAACTGTGGATTTTTTTTTAAAGTTGAGAGTTGATCTTTTACAAGAAGCTTATCATACACTATCAGTGCTTCTCCAACCACATGAATCACCTGGATGTATGAATCACCTGGATGTACAAAAGCAGATTCCCAGGTTGTTTCCAAAGATTTTGATCTCTTGAGCCTGGGATGGGGCCCAAGAATCTATATTGGGCAATTCAGGCTGTCTCCCAGAATCACACCTTAGAAACACTACAACTGCCCCACATAGGACATATCATCTCCATAGAATAGATAGGGAAATTGAGGCCCAAAGAGGGGGAAAAGATTGGCACAGGGTCACCCAGCAAGTGTTGGCAAAGCCACGATGCACACATTGCTTGTGCGCTCCGCTTTCCCATAGGAACTTTACATGATCCCTCTACTCCTGCCTTCAGCACTTCCTGTGCCCTGTCTCTCTGTCTGAGGAAGATGTAGCTGTAGGCTTCTGGGCTGACTGGGGCCCAGGGACAAGTTTGGGACAGAGTACAGGAGCTGAAAGTGTCCTTGGAACTCTGGTGGGACAACTGAGGCCCAGAGAAGACAATCCTCAAACGTCTGAACTCTGCCTGGAGAGGGGTCGAAGGGTGGACTAGGTCTCCTTTCCAAGTGTCAGAGATGAGATTGCAGGCCTCTGAGTGAAGGCTCCACTTCACCAGCCTGGCCCTCAGCCAAGCCAGAGTTGGGGACCGGAGGTGGTGATGACATAAAATGTGTTTTCTGGGAGATCCGCCCCCAAAGTGCAATTAAGGCCAGTCCTTTTCCCGCTTGGCTGTTTCTCCAGCGCTAAAAGTGTGGGGGGAGACTGAGCAGTGGACTTGATCCAGGGTTTTTACAGCGCCGCCGGGTTGCAGGCTTCATCGTTGCGCTCAGTCTTCACGGAAAGTCACCTCTTAAGTAAGGAAGGGGCCTTGACCCTGTCCAGACCGGGAGTCGCTGCCCCCAGCTTCCCTTTGCGCTGGGGCTGAGCAGAGCTGTCTATAGAGGCGGGACTACCGAGCTCGGATGCCTAGCCCAAAGACACTGGCCACTGGAGAGTGGCCCGGGTGCAAAGGGAAAGGTGGCCCCCACCCCAAACCTCGCAGACCCACCCAGGCCCGCCCCTACTGCCTCTGCAAGCGGGCTCAGCCCTGCCCACACCCCCATTTGGCTGGGACACCCTCGGGCCACTCCCCCAGTCCACCCCCACCCACTCTCAGGGCATCCTCCGTTTCCTCCCCTGTGGCCATTCCAGCCCCGCTTAGCCTGACCCAGGCTCCTCTCCCTTTTTGCCCCCAAATAACTCACCGCGCCTGCAAAGGACGACCAGGGAGAAGAGGACTAGCTGGTGCACGCTCCTCATGGCGGGCCGGG